TAGATTTGCTTAGACGATAAGACTAAGGAGTTGGTACAATTTATCTAGGATGTAAATAAGTAATCATACGGCCTCTCTCTTCAAGGACAGATAGACTACCTACATCGGGTCACTTTACAGTGGAAAAAAGAGTTAGAGAATCAGTTCAGGAATTGTAGTTTAATTTAAAAATGCCAAAAATGCCTTATTTATTTTAAAGGATCTAACGTAGATAGATTAAAGCAACTGTATATAATGTAAATTCATAAGTACGAACAAGACCTTCTTTCTTGGGCAACCTAAGAGAGCAGGCAAGTGTGGGCACAGTTTACATTAATAGACAGGCGGTGAGCTTGCAAATGGCTATACAAAAAAATGTATAATGCAATTTATATAAGTGTTCACTTAAATGTTAGACGTTAGACAAATTATAAATGATAGGACGGGTAACAGGATTTATGTTAAATTTGGCATTAACGCCCTAGCATAGCAAAGCTACAGGTTAACCTGATGTTTTATATCACTAGGAAAAATTCCCTGCATATTAAAGTCTGGGTATGGATTCATAAACACATATTAGACCAGTCGGAATTAAGCCACAAAATGACGTTAATGAGTAGAAATACGCAGGTTTATAGGCAAAAATCTGAAAAATAAATGTACCGCTACCAGTGTTTATTCCGTCATTCGATGAAAGAATAATTGAAGACTTTCTTTCAAAAACCGCACATGTCACAAAATGCTCAAATCGAGCTAAATGCGCCATCTAGTAGCATATCAGACATTTTTTAAAGTTATTTGTTTATCCTGAAAAATGGAGATTTTGGACATTTGTCGTTTTTGAAAAAATGTCTTCAATTCATTCTGTAATACTTTTAGGAATATATGTCATTTCACATTTAAAAGTTATATTATAACGGTCATATTTCCTGATAGGAGTAGAAAAAAGTATTTTAAGACCATAATTATTATAATAAACCTAATGAATTGCAAAAGTCACTAAGGTAAAGCAACACAAAGTAAATTTTTAACAAACAAAAATTTTTTTGGTAAGTCCTTCGCAAAATATACCTATCATAAAATTTAGTGACTTTTGCAAGTTGCAAATTGCAACGCAGAAGAAGAATAACAAAATTTTAAAAGCAGTTTTCGGGTTGTTTATTGGACAGTGTCCAATGTACTGGATTTACCAAAAATAAAATAAGAGGACTTTTACCCACAGGCCCTTAGAATTTTAAATTCAGCCCTGATAATACTCTAATATTATTATTTTACAATTTTTCGGACAATAATTACTAAAAAAGTGCTATCTATGAAATGTATTATTATATAAATTTATAAATTACTAGATTCCCTTTTGAAGCTTAAAATAAATCTGTTTAAAAGATTTCTTTTAGAAAACTTCAAGTCATAGTTAGATTTGTGTGCCTGCGCGTAACTTAACTATTAAAATATAGATGGTGCTCAATGTAGTAAATTATATTCTTGGCTCTGGACTACTGCGCCATCTATGTAAAAATAGTCTTAACTAAGTTAAAATAGTTACAGGAATAATGCTAGCATTTATGAAAGTATAAGGGATTCTAACAATATTAAAATCTTATTAATTTGTTTACATTTATACAATCATTACTTCATAGATGGCAATGTATATACTTATACGAAAATATGTTTACCATTTTAAATTTATTATTTGTTTAAAATATTTCATTAGGTCGACAATAATTCTTTTAGATTTTTATCATTCATAAAATTAAACAAATCGGAAAATAAATTATTAACTTCTTGCCTATTCTTCAAAAATATAGAAATTAAACAATATATATATATATTTATATAAATAATAAATACTTATATATAGGTAATCATATAAAAATAATATTTTATTTTTGTAGTTTTATTGTTTATGCTCATTATTGGGATATAATTATTGTAATTTACTTATTAGAAACTTAATAAGAAAAGTTTTTTTACTTTATAAAAGAAAAACTAAATACCAAAACTATATTATCCGGCGTTTTGCCACCAAACAGTTTTAAATAAGATAACTCGATAAACATCTGATAATAGTAATTTATGTCATTTGGTTAAGAAGTAAGGCTTTTTGTGCTAAGCTCAAAGTTTGAAGGCCGACGCGTAGCGGAGGCCTACAATTGAGCGAAGCACAAAAAGACACTTCTTGGCCGAATGGCATAAAACATTTTATCTTCAAAGCACTTTATATAGGTCAATTTAATTTAACATGAACCTAACTTTTTTAGAATCTCATTTATTTATTAGCTAAAGATTACATTAAATGTACAATAATTATTATTCCTTTTAGAAGCAGTAATAGTTTGACATTACCTAGCTACATGATGTAAGTAGAAATGGATTTTTGTAAGAAAATGGTTTACTTACCCTCTTGCTATTACTTTGAATTCAATTAATTGTTTAATAAATCGGTATCTAATTTCAATTTGTTTGAATTTTTATTAAAAAAAATAGGTGGTTTGGAATGTTTAAAAACAATAAGTTTTTATTATAAATAAATTAAACCAGTTTAGTAGGTACGTTAATTTCTTAGAAAAGGATTAATTTGTCAAAACAATACCCCTAGCGAGAAAAAATCGAACTAATTACTTGCCTCATAAAAAATTGTATCGGCCTAGGCCATAACAAGTTATTTCTTTATCGAATGTTGACAACAATAAAGTTTAAATTATAGACCGCGTGGAGATAAAATATTATATATTAAAATCAACACCATTATTGTGGTAAGTAAAAATAATTTTAAAAATAATGTTGGTATATTAACCAAATATAAAGGATATAATCCACAAACATATATTTTTAAAATTATTCTGCTGTTAAAAGTAAAAACAATTGTTTTTTATTTGGGTGCGAATTTCGTATAGGTTCCACTACCACAGTGAGCGGGACATAGAAGTTGTCTCTAGCCTCTATTATATTAAGGGGAGCCTAAAAGGGAGTCGCAAAATGACACTTGCTGTTTTCAAATTTTTTAATTGTTTGAGGAGTATCCTTGGATAAATGGTAATTTAGCTAATGCAATTTATCTGTAAAAACGTAAATAAGTATTTTTTAAACAATATTTTCATTCACAATAGTTTCATTAATGTTATCAACTATAGTTCACTGTTTATTTTAAATACATATCGCTGTTGAAAATACGTAAAGGCATATCTCGTTTTTTGTGCTAAGAAAAATATGTTAACCTTTATCACTTAATATTGTAGTTAACACATTTTTGCTTATAGCAACAAAAATGAGATAGGTACACCTTTACATCAGCGCGCTGCAGCGATGCGTTTTTGACAATAAATCTGGATACATTACTAATGTAACATGTTAATGTTAATGCATTAGTACTGAAACTAAAAAACAAAATGCAATGCATGGAAACCGCACCTATCTTTAAGATTATATTAAATCATAAGTTATTTTTTCTTACAAATCTGACGACATGTTAAAGTACCTTACCCTCTTATATTGGTGTGTGTTATCACCCTGTCATGTGTTGTGGGGTGTTTTACTATATCAGGATCTCCGTGCCTGATATTAGTATTTTGGCATAAAAATGGTGAGGCCTTAATGTTGATGGTGTAGAATTTATTGGAGAGTTCTAGTATGTGTTTGTATGCTTGTTCTTGAATATGTCAAGATGGGACGCAACACTGATTTATACAGCAGCACTTTAGTTTGAGGTTTTAGAGGATATTAGCGGATATATGAATCTTAGTGCTCCATACATTTTTCTTTTAGTGTGCGTAAGCTGTTACTCGAAGTTAAGCCTGTGGTCCAAAAAACTCCCCGAGGTATTTGGCGCAGGCTTTTCTAGTATAGCGTGCCCGATTGTTGGTATACTAGAAATTAACCAGCTTTGTTTTTACTGGATTTATCTTGATTGACCCATGTCCCAGTAGGCTTAAAGTTGATCAAGATAAATCTTTACTGGTTTATTCGCAATTTGCGAAACTGTACACTTTATTCACCAGCGACATACCACACTTCGCGAGGAGTAAGCTAGCTCTGTACGTCGACGACACCGCTCTTTATGCACACTCTTTTTCGTCGGCAGTTGCGAATGGCCAACCAACCGTTTAAATCCAATATAGAAGCAGTTTTTCATAGTGAAAGTGAAGAGAATGTTTTATGGGCACTCCACGATGGGACTTTTGAATTTTTGTATTAAGATAAAAAAATAATTTTTACAAAAAGGGCACTTTAATTCAACGATTGTGACATTAACAACTGTAAACTAACTTAAAACTAACTTCAGCTCATGACTAAAACGCCATAAAGCCACAACTTGACAATGTATATTTAAAAAATAACTTAGTGTTATGGAAACATGTACAATAAGGGGCGTTTTAAAGTTGGGAGTAGAAAAAATTGTTTTATCTACTCCTATTGCATAATATTGTTTTTTTTTTCGTGAATAATGATAAACATTATAATTTCCCTGCCTACCAACGTTAATAATAAACTCATTATTCACGTTGTTAGGGATTAGTGATTGGCCGATTTCAATATTTACTGAGATTTGAACCAATCGGGTTTTAAATTGGGAGAAGGCAACTATAATAACATTAAAAATTGGTAAAATGTTAGGTTAACCATTTGACAGATGACAGATTTTATTTAATTATTTTTGAAAATCATATTAGAGTTATAACACTCGAGATTATGCTCATTATTCACTCGGATTATCTCTCTCTTGTTGTTTTAAAATTAAAAATATTTTCGATTGCTTTTTACTTATCAATTTTAGTGCACGAATTTGTTAGTAACATGGCGATGCATCGTTTAAATAAATTGATATTTAACAATTATAATCATTATAAATAATTATTTTAATTTTTTACCAGATTAAAATAAATAGACAAAATATTTGTTTTAAAAAGGTGCGATAAAATCTGTATATAATGCATTTTTATCTTTAAAGTGGAATATTAATTTTAATTATCTTTCGGATTTTATATAAATACTATTAATTGTAATTTTTTCCCATTTTTTCTAAAACATGGAAGACGAAGCAGAGCCTAAAAAGGAAAATGGACTTTACGACCCAATGGCAGTAAGATGGTCTGAAAAATATAGTGATACATTTAATAAACTATGGAGTTATGTACCTAGCTCATTTAAAAATGTTGTTGTGACTCTGGCAGTGTTTTTAGTGGGAATTTCATTAAATGGTAAGATACTCTTTATATGATGTGTGCACTTCATTACTTTTACAAAAATTATTTGTTTATAAATACATTTTAATATACAATAAACAATATCCCTCATTATTATTACAAAAATTATTTATATTTAAATAAATTTTAATATAAACTGCGCACCACTCAATGTGTCGCGACCAAAAAGTTCGTTTTTTTTCAAAACGACGTAACTTTGTTGTTTCTTAAACTATTTTATTTTGGTCTGTGTTGTCTGCTAGCCTCATCCTTTGGCAATTCATGCCATAGATATGAAGCTCACGTTTCATCAAGTAAATTTCCTACAGGGTGATATGTTAAACGGTGAAAAATTTTAATAACTTCATCCAAGCCCCCTTTGTAACAAAATATTTTTTTTCTCGTTTTTACTTTAAAATAATGAATTATTATGTCTTTGTAGCGTTTTTCAAATTTTTCGAATTGGAATCTTAGCAACGAAAATATGATGTTTTTTTCAAAAGAGTACATTTAAGGCTTTTTTGTAGGCAATACACTCAGTCTTTTTAGGAACAAGAAGATAAAGATGGTGAAATAATGTTCCTTAAATAATTTTGAACAAGCGACAAGCAACAAACTTTCATTATTTTCAGAGGGCCTAAGCAAATACCACTTTTTCAAAATAACATTTTGTTGAAAATTTGAGAAAACTAAACCTAAACCGATATTTACGATCGTAACATGTTTTATTTATAATTTTGACCTCCTGATTGTGATTCAGTTATCAAATTTAAGTTTCAGATAAAACCAAAATCACCAAGTATCAAGATTCGAAAACAATTCCCTGCTGTTAAATGTCTCAATAAAATACAATTGCTGGTTTTTACTATTTTTTTTACTGTATTTTGCATCTTTAGTACATACGATATTATCATGTCGCTAAATAATCAAATCGAGGATCAAATGAATAGTTCTTGATAAACCTTAAAAGCACATTATGAGGGATATTCTTGAATTTTTCAGTTTGCTTGTGTTTTTCAAAATTTCGAAGTTTTTTTTGCATAAGTTTTACCTACCTACCTACATACCTACCCCTATCAGCCAGGTTACTTCCATTCTTCCTTTAAATGATTAAAATACCAAGACTTTGCTGCAGCTACGGGAATTAACATCTTCAAATCAACGGTTCGCATAAGATTGCACGAAACGAGTATTTAAGGGACCACCATATTGAGAGAATAAATTGGCCACCTTTGATAAGATGGTGAAATAATGTTCCTTAAATAATTTTGAACAAGCGACAAGCAACAAACTTCCATTATTTTCAGAGGGCCTAAGCAAAGACCACTTTTTCAAAATAACATTTTGTTGAAAATTTGAGAAAACTAAACCTAAACCGATATTTACGATCGTAACATGTTTTATTCATAATTTTGACCTCCTGATTGTGATTTAGTTATCAAATTTAAGTTTCAGATAAAGCCAAAATCACCAAGTATCAAGATTCGAAAACAATTCCCTGCTGTTAAATGTCTCAATAAAATACAATTGCTGGTTTTTACTATTTTTTTTACTGTATTTTGCATCTTTAGTATGTACGATATTATCATGTCGCTAAATAATCAAATCGAGGATCAAATGAATAGTTCTTGAAAAACCTTAAAAGCACATTATGAGGAATATTCTTGAATTTTTCAGTTTGCTTGTGTTTTTCAAAATTTCGAAGTTTTTTTTGCATAAGTTATACCTACCTACCTACATACCTACCCCTATCTTAGCCAGGTTACTTCCATTCTTCCCTTAAATGATTAAAAGACTTTGCTGCAGCTACGGGAATTAACATCTTCAAATCAACGGTTCGCATAAGATTGCACGAAACGAGTATTTAAGGGACCACCATATTGACAGAATAAATTGGCCACCTTTGTCTCCGGATATGAATCCTATTGAGCATGTGAGGAGTAGGATGAAACTGAAGATGAAAGAGAGGGACCGACGGATGGAAAATTTTGATGAATTGGTAAATGCTATTCAGGAAGAATGGAATACCCCAGGAATTTATAAAGAACTTGGTTGAGGCTCAGGAGGGTAAACAAATTATTACGGATTAGGGGAGGGCCAACAAAATATTGAGAGTTATTTTTGTTATTGCTTGTTACATTTTGTTGCATACAATTTTCCTAAATGAACAAACATTCTTTTATTTAATTTTATTACCAATTAGGTAGGTACTTATCAGTGATAAGTTATCACTCAAACAAATTGCAGTATGTTTGCCCAAAAAATGAATCCCCAAATGGCATTTTAATCATAAATATGCAAGAAACACTTCAGCATTTTATTAAGACATTTAACAGCCAGGAATTGTTTTCGAATTTTGATTCTTGGTGGTTTTGGTTTTATCTTAAACTTAAATTTGACAACTAAATCACAATCAGGAGGTTAAAATTATAAAGAAAACATGTCAAGACCGTAAATATCGGTTCAGGTTTAGTTTTCGCAAATTTTCACCAACATGTCATTTTGAAAAAGTGGTCTTTGCTTAGGCCCCTCTGTAAATAATGAAAGTTTGTTGCTTGTCGCTTGTTCAGAATTACTCAACGAACAATCTTTCACCATTTTCTTGTTCTTAAAAAGACTGAGTGCTAAGATTCCTATTCGAAAAATTTGAAAATCTTTTCAAGGTAAGACATAATACTTCATTATTTCAAAGTAAAAACAAGAACAAATATTTCTTTTTTCAAACGGGGCTTGGATGAAGTTATTGAAATTTTTTACCGTTTTACATATCACCCTGTACGAAATTTACCTCAAGAACCGTGAGCTTCATATCTATAGCATGAATTGCCAGAGGATGGGGCTAGTAGACATTACAGACCAAAATAAAATCGTTTAAGAAACAAAAAAGTTATGTCGTTTTGAAAAAGGACGAACTTTTTGGTCGCGACACATTGAGTGGTGCGCAGTTTATATGACTTCTCATTATTTTTTCCATTCTTAAAAATTGTTCATGGATTTTTTAAAATATGAGATCTGATCTTTATCTCAACAATACAGGGCCGTTCAGAAATATATATATATTTTTTAACGGAATGCCCTATATATTTTAATACAGTTTGATAGATTGTTTTAAGGTGAATTTAAAAATATATAACAATTATATATTTACTTGATAACTAATTGTAAGTGCCCTATATACATATACAGCCCGTTCAGAGTAAAACCGAATATAAGGAAACGTTTTGGGCGTGGCCTCGCCTCTCTCCAACGTGCGTCACAGTAGCTTGTGTGATAATCGACATAACTAAAGGTCGAGCAGGTAAGACGACCTTCAAAATTAAATGATAATAATGCAAAAAATCTCATGCAAACAAAGTCAAGTGTTCTAGCGTTAAAATTAAGTACATTATTAAACTGAACCAGGCCGTTTTGGTCAAGGAAGTTGTTCATTAACTGATATTTTCTGTCATTACTTGGATTATTAGTAAAATGAGTAATATTAAAATCGCCAAAAATAAGAGAAAAGCGGTTATTTAGCTGTGCTGCGACAAAAGATCCAGAAAATATTCAAGATTATGAACAGAAATGTCAGGAGGAACATATACATTATAGAGTCCTTCGGAGGGGACTATAGTCCTTCAGAGGGGACTATAGTCCTTCGGAGGGGACTTTAAGCCCGCGGTCCCTTCCTACCCCTAACCCGCACAAGCCATTCAGTTGGCTTATGGGACTTCTTAAGAAGTAAGGGTGGAACTAAAAGAGCACTTTTTTTGTATATAAAAATAAAGTGAAGGTACATTTTGCAACAAACAATATCTACATTATGGAGTTGGTCACGTATATTAGATAAGTCTATGGGGGAAACGCGTAGAGGTTGCTTCTAGGCAGAACAAACGCCTCCACTACGCATAACACCCATTGCTTCAAAATCCCTATCACATCTGAACACATTGTGGATGTCAGGAAAAAACTCATTACTGTTAATACCAAGTCTCAGTTAAAAGAACTAGATCATACCAATACTCACTAACTGAAGGTAAAAAGTCACCAGCTTTTGTCCTTAGGCCACGCACATTCTGGTAAAAAATACTAAGGCTGTATGGTTCTGTATCGTTGAGCAGCATTAGTTTAAAGACTTAGTTTTTGGAACTCCCTTCTTATACTTAATAAATAAATAAATAAATAAACAGATTAATTTCTCCACTCTTTATTCTGTTGTTCATTTCCGTTTTAAGTTTCTTGTATTCATCGATCTTTAGAGGTGTTCTATCAAATGAAAAGCGAATGTTTTTGTTGTAACTTGTGGAGTCCTTTAGCAATTTGGCTTTGCGAATAGCTTCATGAATAGAAGCCTCTCTATTAAAAGTGATCTTGAGTGGACGAGGTCGATCTGCTGTTGTTGCGAACTTTCCAAGCCTTGTTATGTTTATAATGAGGCTCGCATCCAAAGAGATTTCATTACAAATCCCAGCAAAAGTAGCTCTTTCCTCGAGATCTCTTCCAGTTTTGTCGGAGATTTTAGATTTCATAACATTAACATTAGTTTTTCTCTTCTCACGTTCGAGCACTTTATTAACAATTTTGGTGATGAGCTTAGATTCATTATTGGATTCATTGGATTCACCTCCTCCTTCAGTTGTGCAATTGTCTGGGAGATATTGAGAACAGCGGCAACACTGTGGTCGCGCTCGAAGAGAGATTTGTTTTGAAGGTTAGATAACCTGAAATTACAGGATTGGTGCCATACTCAGGGCCGGTCCGAGGTACGGGCGAACCGGGCAACGGCCCAGAGCGGCATAATGGGGGGGCGGCATTTTTACGAATAAGAATAATAATAATCAAGAATTAAGAATTAAGCTCAAGAAATGCAGTTTAGATAATTTAATATCTTTGTTACAAAGATTTGAAAGAGGCGCTTTCTTTCATTCGTTTCTTCAATCACATCCTGTAGTTTTCTATACTTTTGTTTGACAATTGACAATTAATAATTGACAAATATTATATCACGATTGGGCTTGCTAAGGTTGTTTGATAAT